CCCAGATGGGGAAGCAGGAAAATGAGCTTCAGAGACGAGGAGACCAGAGGCACCACCTCTGCAGGCAGGGTCCTTCCTTCCTGAAGTAGAAGACTCTAGAAGGCTGACGTTCAGGCCCAAGTGCGGACTGCTCAGGGTAGGACGGGAAGCTCTGCCGAACAATAATAACATGCACTGTCTGCCCAAGGCGCGTGGAGTCCAAGGCACTCTGGAAATTGGGCTCAAAACAACTTCTTTAATTGAGACAAAAAGCCCTTTGTGTGGGCCTTCCTCCCTTAGCCCTCAGAGGCTTTGAGTTTAGTGCGGCAGCAGCTCCTGTCTCCCCAGAGCTGCCTCAGGTAGAAATACTGCCTGACTGCCAGTGGCCATGCATCTGTGACCATTACACAGGCCTAAGTGGGTTTGGGAGCTTTACCTTAGGAATTAAGTAAGAAAAATGAAGGCCCAAGCAGGGCACACTGTAGCTCAGACGATTTTGTCTTCTCTTGATGTGAATGGGACCTAAATTGGGAAGTCTCTGGCCGATGGCGAGGGCAGATAAACGTTACGGATTTGATGTAATCCCAGACCTCAGACTTGAAACTCAACTTGACCCTTCCTTTGAGCACAGGGAAGGAAGCAGAGGAGGGATATCAGCAAAGCCATATGTCAAGTCAGGAGAGAAAATGACAGCCAGAGCAAGGTGGAGAGGTGCACAGTCAGGGGTGGAGACAATGAAAGAAAAGTCTGCAAAGTTAGATAGATACAATGTGTCCTTCAGGAGACAAACAGGCGCTGTGAGAGGTGAGAGGGAAGATATTTCATGATGGGATCTGTGGAGCCGGACTGGCAACCTCTGCTGCTCCAAAATCCAAATACCCACAAGGCCTGGAATTGAGTGTGCAGCAGTCACAACTGGACTCATTTGCACCAAGTGCTAGGGAAAGTGTCAGTGGCATGGAGGCAGGAGAGTTTCCACGAGTAGCCCAGGATCGTTCAGCCAGCTCTGTGTTTGCAGGAAGTGAAGCATCTGTGTTTTTTTGAGAGTCTGGTATCATAAATATCCGGGTCACATTTACAGTTGCTGTCTCTCTGGGCCAGCACCGTGGAGGTGGGGTATGTGTGTGTGTGTGTATGTGTATGTATGTGTGTGTGTGTATGTGTGTGTGTTTTGTGAGCACGTACTTTGTGCTTTGTGCTTTACGTATGAAAACACAGGCTGTGAAGGCTCATGTCCCCTTTCCCTGCTTTAGAGATGGCAATGCTGAATTGCTGAGGGTGAGGCACTTGCTCAAGGCCACCCAACTAGTGAATAGTAGACTTGAGCTGCAACTCAGTGGTCTCATGCAAATACCTGACTATTCCACTCTAACACATGGCTCCTGATACCTCCTGCAGCTGCCCAGGACAGGTTAGTGCTGGGTTCCTGTGTTCTGCAGCCTCCCACGGGCTTCCAGCATGCCTGCCAGACCAATGTGTGGGTCTGCCTCTCCAGCCTGTGGATGACTGGCACTGAATAGCCCTCCTCCACTTGCTCCCAGAAGTGAGAATTACCAAAGGCTGGCCCAGCACTCAAGACGTGGCAAGTTCAGCAGGTGAAGGCAGGAACCTGGTGGACAGTGAGGATTCTTACCTCTCAATGTGATGGTTTTCCATCCATCCCTCAGACCTCACCCTTCCAATTCCTCAGGCATTTTCATAAGTCCCCTGCCATCGTCTCTTTATGCTCTAGTTTTTGGTTTTTTGTTTTTTTTTTGTTTTGTTTTGTTTTTTTTTTTTTTGCCACTGGTGTGGGAAAACTTGTTTGTTTCTTCAATACTCTATGGTTATACACTTTAGCCATCACATAAGGGGACAGAATGGACCACCAACTCACCCTTGATAAGTCCCTTCTCAGCCTCTGCATCGGTCAGGACTTTCCAGAGTAGCAGGACAGGAAGCGACAGGTCCCAGCTCCTTCCTGAGGGCAGGTTGGCAGGCTCTGTCTCTCTCTCTGTCTCGCTCTGTCTCTCTCTGTCTGTCTGTCTGTCTGTCTCTCTCTCTCTGTCTGTCTCTCTCTCTGTCTCTCTCTCTGTCTGTCTCTCTGTGTCTCTCTCTCTCTCTCTCTCTCTCTCTCTCTCTCTTGTGTGTGTGTGTGTGTGTGTGTGTGTGTACTGGGTGAAGCCCACCCAATATGGAGGATAGTTTCTTTTTACTTAAAATGAGCTGAGTATGGGCACCAACTCCTTCAACATCTATAAGCCTTGGTAGCTTAATAGCAAACAGGGTAGCTGGACGGCATACCTGCCAGGCTGCGTACAGCTTTCCTAGCTACTGTGCCTCTAGTCTGTCAGGTGTCCTTCCTCTTCCTGGTCTTTCCTTTATCAGTTGGTCTGCAAGCTCCATCACTGGTACTTTGTTCATGACAGAAGCTGTCAACCCCCGCCACAGCCCTTCTTCCTTCCCTGACATGGCCCAATGCACAGGTGTCCAATTTGTGTTTCTAGAAGCCATTGAACACAACTGTGGAACAGCCAGCCTCTACTTTACTTCTCTGATCTGTCCACACTGCTGAGCCCTGTCCACACTGCTGAGTCCTGTCTGTCCACATTTCTGAGTCTTGTCTGTCCACATTTCTGAGTTTTGTTCACACTGCTGAATCCTGTCCACACTGCCGAGTTCTATCTGTCTACACTGCTGAGCCCTGTTCACACTGCTGAGCCCTGTTCATACTGTTGA